CTACCTGAAAAAATTTACATACATTCGTCCCCGAGAAGAGCACATACACAAAAATAGATACACGAATTCGTCCCCGTAAAATTATTTATAAAAGTATACTTACCTAATTGTCATAGTATTTAACTGGCCTGTATTTTCTTTTACTGCTGAACGTATTATTTTAGAAGGCTTCTCAGAAATACCATCGATTGCTTTTTGTCTACCACTAGCACTTATTATCTGCCCGTTTAGCTTTATCAATTTTTTTTTATGAATATGTTCCATTTCACTGCGCAAAATTTTATTTTCTGAGCCTACAGTATAAACTTTCGCCTTGCAGGAGCGATCCGAACAACGCCAACAGATTTCACCAGTTTTTAATTCTCTGTGTTTGGTAAATTTCACAGAGTCTACTATTATTACTGGTTTGCCACGTTCACTCAAACTTACAAAGGTTTTCATTTTTTTCTTTCTTCTTTTTTACAAAATATTATTTCAGAATGAAAGCTCGGTGGATACTAAAATTAAATTTTGATAAATCTTTATTCTATTTTCTAGTTAATGCTCAATATTATAAAAATTCCTTGAAAGTATAATCTCTTGCTCGGAGACGAATTTAGATGTGGGATTAAAGTAAGGGTACAAATTGAGGGTAGGATTATCTGTTAGTACCTGCTCAGGAACGAATTTAGGGCCGCCCGGCAATTTTCCGAATTTTCCTGTTATTTCCCGTGGTGACACACCAGAGATCTTTATTGAATGTACAGTCTGTTCGCTATACTTACGCGGGTTTCGGATTAACAAAACTATGCAAATTAGTCATTGACAACCAGTTCCAATAAGCCTCTTCCCAAGAAATTAGGTAAAATTGCCCTAATGGTCAGATTTAAATTAAAATAACATTAGGGTAGGTACTAAATGTGTTACAAATATTGCAGTTGAATTGATTCTTTGCAAGTGTTGACATTGTATGTATTTTGTAAATTTAGTGGAAATTTTAAAAATGCCTAGACGTGTGTTAAATGTAGATAGTCTAATTTGTAGTGTACATAAGTATTTTACGGATGAAAAAGAAAATGGCGGTCCTTTAATATCGGTAATGCCTGTACAACAACGCGTATGCGATGCTATAGGAATTAGTGAAACCAAATTAAGAGGAGTATGTATTACAAAATCACAATAGTGAACTGCCGAAAAAAGATCACCGCAAAATTCGCCATCATTGAAAACGAAAGATATTCCAAATGGAAAGAAATTTGAAATTCGTGATACCATTTATCGAATGAGGGCCAACAAGGAACATGTGACCTTAAATACAATTCTCTCGGAAATAATAGATAGAAAATTTTACGACATTGGCAGAACAAGTCTATAGCAAGTGATACATAACTTGAGTTTCAAATGGAGGATAACAGAAAGGCCCTTTGTGAAAGAAGTTCTGTCGTGCACAAGAGAATTAACTTTCTAAGAAAATATTCTAAATTTAAAGAAGAAGGGGCGAATTTTATATATTTAGACGAAACATGGATATTTTCTAGATGTGCAACCAAGAGAATATGGCAAGATGATAACGTAAAGTCCATCAAACATACCGATGGAGAAGGGAAGCGACACATAATTTTACATGCAGGAGGGAAATCGGGTTTTATAGAAGGTGCTGATTTAATATTTTCATCTAAATCAATATCCAGTGACTATCACGATAATATGAACACAGAAATGTTTGTAAAATGGTTGCATGAAAAACTTCTCCCATGTTTAAGTGAGCCCAGCGTAATTATTTTAGACAATGCACCTTACCATTCTGAAGTATTAAACAAAAATCCAACGAATTCTTGGACTGTTGATAAAATTAAAGAATGGTTGACAAAGGAACATATACCATTTCTTCAATATAAACTACGCCGCAGATGAAGTGGGACAGCCAAAAAATTGCCTAATTTTGACTAGCTGTAACTTCGACATTTCTTTGCCGATGTTAGATTTTCAGCCAGAGGTGGAAAGCGCCATCCTTGCTGTTTGCGTCAGTGGCATTGAATATATTTTTTTTAATAGCTTCTTTTTGTACAGGGTGTGAATGTAAGGCAGCGAAAAATGTCCGTATTTGGCAAAGAATTTGGAAAATGTGGGGGGCCAAATCAAGTTCTTTCTGATGTTGAGTGGATCACTAGGTCGACATCTCGGGACGTCTTTGCCATTTTTTTGATACTTTGCGTTGCTATGGAAATATCGCCATTTTATGAAATTCTATATTTCTTTTAGAATTAGCCTTTTTTTAATTAAAGAATAACAGATACCGACTAAACTGCATCAAGGAATAACGTGTAAAGAAAATGGTCAACACCAGCGGCGTGCAAAAAGGGGTTTAGGAAATTTAAAAAACGAAAACTTGATTTTATTTGAAATTTTTAACACTTTTGGTAAGCGTTACAGTTTAAAAGGTGCCATAACTGTAATGAGTTTGATTTTGACTAATTCAGAGGAATACAAAAGTAAAGCTACTCACCCTGTAAGCGCTTACTGATAGTGTCAGTAAGCAATAATAGGTACTTACCATTTTTGCATTTGTAAGTCGGGACATTTGCTTTGACGAAACTTTATTTCTGCAATTTTATCAAGAAGGCGACAAAAATATTACCATAGAGATAAGATTTTGACGTTAGATTGCATAACTGCGCGACTTACGGCTGCAGATTTGGTGAATATTTTAAGATTGCGGCAGAGAAATCACACAATAAGAGATATTTCTGATTTTCTTAATGTCAAGAAATCATCCGTTGGAAGAGCGTTGCAGAGAGAAGGTAACAATGGTACTGCTGCTTACTGACACGGGGGAGGATCTCGAAAAAGAACTAATCCTCGTCAGGATCGAGCAGTAGTACGGACTGCAATCAGAAACAGAGTTTGGACTGCCAAGAGAATCCGATCGCAACTGCAGTTAAACGTTTCAGCAGACACTATTAGAGGACGCCTACATGATCAGGGATTAAATGCTCGCCGTCAGCCAAAATGCCCACTTTTAACTGACATTCACCGGGCCAACAGGAGAAGATGGGCCCAAGAACATATATATTGGGATCGTAGGTGGAGAGACTTTTCGTTGATGAAAGCCGTTTCAACCTCTACAATTCCGACGGCCGATTGCTATCTTGGCGGAGACGGGGAGAACGTTATTTAGCAGAAAATATGCGTCCCCAAGTTACATTTGGCGGTGGTGGATTGACGGTTTGGGGCGGTATTCAACACAACGGAAGGACAGAACTCGTGGTATTTCGGGGTAATGTAAACGGCCAGGTTTACCTTAATGAATGTCTGATTCCGCTAGTTCTCCCGCATGCTCGAAATTATGGCGAGGATTTTGTTCTTGTGGACGATAATGCTCGAAATTATGGCGAGGATTTTGTTCTTGTGGACGATAATGCTCGTCCTTATTGAGCATTATTAGTAAACAGATATATACAAGAACAAAACCTTAATCGTACTGAATTGCCTCCTAGATCTCCAGACTTGAATCCTATTGATCACGTCTGGAGCTGGATGAAGTTGGAGTTTTCCCGAAGGGAACGTCAGCCAGAAACTCTAGACGATCTCGAGGAGATGATTTTAGAGCTCTGGGAGGCAGTTCCTATGGAGCTAACTAATAACTTAATTTCGAGCATGCCAAAGCGGTGTCAGGCAGTTATTCAGGTTAGAGGAGGTCCAACGCCTTACTAATTAATAATTAACAAATATTTATTAAGGTTAGGTTAGGTTTATTTTAATATTCTAATGAATTCCATGTACACACTTTATAAAATAAAAACCAATAAAAGAAACTGTTTTTTTTTAATTACTGAACCCTTTTTGTACGCCTCTGAATTAGTCAAAATCAAACTCATTACAATTATGACACCTTTTAAACTGTAACGCTTACCAAAAGTGTTAAAAATTTCAAATAAAATCAAGTTTTCGTTTTTTAAATTTCATAAACCCCTTTTTGCACGCCGCTGGTGTTGACCATTTTCTTTACACGTTATTCCTTGATGCAGTTTAGTCGGTATCTGTTATTCTTTAATTAAAAAAAGGCTAATTCTAAAAGAAATATGGAATTTCATAAAATGGCGATATTTCCATAGCAACGCAAAGTATCAAAAAAATGGCAAAGACATCCCGAGGTGTCGACCTAGTGATCCACTCAACATCAGAAAGAACTTGATTTGGCCCCCCACATTTTCCAAATTCTTTGCCAAAAAAACGGACATTTTTCGCTGCCTTACATTCACACCCTGTACAACAAGAAGCTATTAAAAAAAATATATTCAATGCCACTGACGCAAACAGCAAGGATGGCGCTTTCCACCTCTGGCTGAAAATCTAACATCGGCAAAGAAATGTCGAAGTTACAGCTAGTCAAAATTAGGCAATTTTTTGGCTGTCCCACTTCATCTGCGGCGTAGTTTATATTAAAATCAGAATTATTACGCTTGGCAAATATACACGCAAAACCAAAAACCTTTGTTGTAGATCAGATTATTGAAAGTTACGGTCATCAAGTTTTACGTCTGCCACCGTATCATTGCCAGTTTAATACCATCGAATATATATGGGGAATAACAAAACAATATTATGACAACCATATTGGGCCTAATGGTTATAGTGACGACGCAGTTCCGGAAACTTGGCGAAAAGCACTTTCAATTGCAACTCCAGAAGTGTGGCGGAACTGTATATCCAAGTGCGAGAAACTAATAGAAGATTGGTGGATTCGTGAAAATAAAATAAACGAAATAAGTCCAATCATAATAACAATTAATGGTGATGACAGTGATGATGATGATGATTATGATATTTTGGATGATAATGACTGATTTTCATTTTTGTTGGCAAGTTCAATTTTTTTATTTTTCATTTAGTTATCTATACTGATTAAATAACTTTCCCAGGAACCACCGTTTCATGAGTTTTTTTATAGATTGAAGTTATTAACTAATCTAGCTTTTATATCGTTAATATATCTTTTAAATAAATGAAAACACAAATTATAATCATAAATTTCTATTTAAAAAAAAAAAACAAGCATAAAATAAACAATTACAAAGGAGCGATATTGCACCCCAACAAACCTCGACCCAGCCACTTTCTAGGCGTCAACTGAACAACCAAAAACCTATTCCCTCTTTTCAATTTAACGTTCAACTTATTCCCCTCAGAATGCTGCACGACAGTCGCTATATCAGTGACGCTCTTGAAATTCGAAGCATTCACAGATCCAAACTCAACCAATTCATCATTGACTTGAAAATCGGCGAAATACGCCGGCGAATTATCACTAACCACCGTGATTCGAGCGAAAGGCGTTTTGTAGACCACGCTCTCGTCTTCAGTAGCGATATCCATCTTAGCAGGTCTATCGGGAGCCAGTTCGGTCGAAGTTGTAGCGTAATATCCATGCAAACCGCTCTCGATCCGCTTCATCACCTCCTTGTGATCGTTCTGCAGGCAGATGATGCGGTGCCGCGCGTGCCTGATTTGGTACACGTTGATCGAATTGATGGGATACCCCTCGGAGTCGACTAAAGGATCTTTCATGCCTACTCCGCTTTGCGTCAAAACTGCAGTCAACTCTTTTATTTCGTTTTCTATTTTATCCTTTTGGGACATGAGTTCCATCACCTGTCCTCTTATATCCTCGTGACTCATGGCGGCCCAAATGGGTTCCTGGAATGTACAATACGCCGTATTAGTGAGGACGTAATTTTGGTTCCATTTCCACTAACAGTTAACTTTTTACAATTATGTAATTGACTTTGACATACGAAACTTCAGATTCAAATTCTTAGAACGTTTTATGAAAAAATATCCTATGCTTTATTTTTGAGATACAGGTTGTTGAAGTTAAAAAATATTGCAGGTCATAATAAGTAGTTCAAATGTATTCAACTAAATTATTTTTAATGATTAAATGATTTAAATCTTAAAAATAATAAAAATAAATGCAAATTCACCTAATTTTTAACTTTGCTCATTTGAAATTATTTTAGGAACTATTAAACTAATAAATACCTAATAGGAAATATCACAATAGTTATTTTTAATATTACAAACTCTTAATTATGTATTAAAACTATCTAAAAATTTAAAAGGAAATAGATAATATGTTAATTTTATCATAAAAAAAAAACTAAACGATTATATACTTGACGCATGTTATCTAACTTAATTTAGGAATATAAGTATTTATAAAAGTTCAGAAATCATATAATAATAAAAAGTCTACTGTCACTGTAATTGTCAATGGAACCAAATTTACATCATCATTAATTTAGCCTATTGATATTTGTTAGTTTTGCAAGAATGCTCCGAAATTCTATCAACAAATTTGAGAGGGTTATTGAGGCTCATTTTTGTGTGTCTTTTCATTAATTCTTCCTTTATACTGCCCACCTTTTCCAAACCACGTACGCCACTCTGTAGGGCCTTGGTGCAAATTGAACCAGTCAATAGTTATCACTCATTCCAATCTATGTAATACACGCAGTAATTTAACATTTTCCATTCAAATTTCTTGTAAATTGATACATATTTTTTTGCCGTATCTATTTTTTTGTAACCAGTAAGGTGTAGGAATCATCTTTTTTTTCGACCTGCAGTTTTCGATGGATCTTTACGTTTTAGGGCACCCTAAGTCTGTTTTGGAAATTTTTGCGATTATGTCTGTCTGTCCATGATAACTCAAAAACGGTTTAAGAGAAAAACTTAAATAAACTTCCTATAGTGAGCTGAGTAGATTTTGGACATAGTCGGAGCATCTGAGGGTATTTATAGGGGATCGTTTTTCTACTTTAATGTATATTAATGTTATTTATGATCAGAGGAGAACATTCTTTGACTAAGAGTTGTTTGGGAATTAATTTTCTATATTTTTAACCGATTTCAAAAAAGGAGGAGGTTCTCAATTCATCTAAATATTTTTGTTTATGTAAGTTCAGCGATAATTCTTTAACACGGTGTCCGATTTTAATGATTCTTTTTTTGTTAGAAAGGGGCTACTTCAGGGGTGGTCCCATATTAATTTGGTCAAAATCTGATAATTGGGTCCATTAGAAAATCCTCAAACTCTTCATTTTTACTTTCCTATCTGTATACAGATATAAGAAAAGTATAGGAATCATGATTTTTTCGACCTCGAATTTTTACGTTTTTGAGGTCCCCAGAATCCGTTTTGACTATTTTCGCGATGATGTCTGAGAGATATTTGAGAAAATGTGTAATTTCGAATTTTGAAGAAAACTCAAAAACGGATAAAGAAAAAAACATTAAATTTTAAACTTAAGTTTTATTCTGGCCTGACGTGAAATGATTAGATTTTGGACAAAGTCGGAACATCTGGGGGGGTACTTTATGGGAGGCCGTTTGTATATCTTATGGAATATATCTGTTATTTATGTTTGGAGAAGAAAATTGTTCAAATAAAAGTTACTTCTATTATTATCTATAATTTTTGCCTTATGTCAAAATTTCCTGAAATGGTCCGTATTCGAGAAATTTGACAAAATGTGCAAAATTCTGATTTTTATGAAAATTGTTGAACTAAGTAAAAGTTGTTTGCGATATCCATCTCTATAATTTTTGGTTTATACATGATTTTTCTAAAATGGACCGTAATGGAAAAATTGAAGGAAAAGTGCTAAATTTAAATTTTTCAGAATTTTCGTTTTCAATGAATATCTGTGGACAATGTATATATTTAGTTTATCCTCTAAACATTTATAGAGGTGCTGGAATAGGTTGTACAAAATAACCAGAAAAAGCCTATAATAACAAGATAGGAAAGTCATGTGTTGGACACATAAGATTTTTAATGTATGTTTAGCAGTAATTCTTTACCACCTTGTCCAATTTTTATGATTCTTTTTTATTAGTAAGGGGGTACCTCAGGGGTGGTCCCATATAAATTTGGTCAAGATGTGTAGACGACATCTGCACGATTTTGAAGTCGGTTTTTTAAAATTTCTTTTAATAATTGTTTGTCATATACATGATTTGAGGAAAAGTGCAAAATTTTTATACAATTATGGAAAATTATGTCATAAAAGTGGCTTTTTAATTTCAACAACTCATAGCATTTTTAACAAAGTACAAACTTGTAACTCTCAAACGTGTCATAGCAGATTGACAGAAAAAGTTCATGATTGTTCATAAAGCAAAAAGAATGGACAAAATTTGTATACATGCAAAATGAGTAATATTATTGTACCTTTAGATTCTTAGGGTGTCAAAGAAAATAAAAAGAAGAAGCTATTGTTAACAAAAGAAATCAAATATATAACTAAACTGCTATGTGAAATATGTAAAACACAAATTGTCAAGGACACAATCAAGTTATAAAAAATATTTATAAGAATCTTATCTCTTTAAGTGTGCATGTCACACATGTGAGACATTTTGATTTTGTCTGCAGTGTGCATGGCAGTTTAACAGCCCCCCCTTAATCCCCATTTTCAATAAAAAAAATTTCAGAATCAATAGCTTGATATTTCCTGAATATTTCAATTTGATAACATTTTCTATTTTCAAGTTAGGATTTTTTTTTAATATTTCAACCTCCCCCGCTTATACCACCATTTTTATTTAGATTGTTTTCAGAATCAACAAACTTCACACCTTTATAGATCTTGATTTATACTAAAAATGTCATGTTGATATCACTCTCAGTGTTTGATTTTTATTTCAACCTCTTAATGCCATTTTGTTCATTATTTTTTCTAAAATCAATAGGCTTGTATATTTTGAGTAACCAATTTTACAGGAGAGAAAAAACTATTTAAATGCTTTAAAAAAAACACAATGAAATTGTTTTTTTTTTCCTACTAAAAAAAAAAAACTGGGAAATTTTGGAATAAAGAGTCAGGCACATATTCTGGCTTAATAGACAATCTATATTTTATTTTAAACCTCGTTTTAAACGCGATGCTAATATAGGAATTTAATATCAAACACACTGTATACATAGTTTCACAGTCATCACAAGTTAATTTCTAAATTTCCATCCCAAAGTCTTATCAGAAGAAGTGGTAATTTATAATACAGGATTAAACACAATCAAACACATCAGACAGCAACACGATTCATAATGGATTAACTTTTATTCTAGGTAATGTAGACTTATTTTAAAGCTTTGGCATCTTATTTACTCTACAACCACCAGTAGTCAACCAGCAGCTTCAAGACAAAACAATGACTTTGCAAATCATATCTTTAGAAAAATTAGATGCAACCAAAATAACATGAGCTCAAAAGTCCAAAACAGTGTTAACATTTAGTATAGGAACAGATTTTGATAGTGCTTATTATAATATTTCAACAAGTTCTTTCCAGATGCTTTTTGTAAATTTAATAGGCGTTTTTTTTTAATTTATAATGTATGTATATAGGTAGGAATATGTAGGTACATGTACAAAATTTTATTAAGTTGTTTCAAATTGTTGTAAAATATTGTTTCATTAACAATAGTTATTTAATCATTATCATTTCAGCCTTATGCAGGGTCAGTTCATTGGTATTTTTCACCTAGATTTCGACCTGTTCTACAGCAGTTCAATTTCCCTTTATCCCATATCATTACTGACACAAGTATCCCACCTTTTAACTATCTCCATTACTTCTTCCCTCAACTTGCTAGGACATTTTACCAATTGAGGAGCTTGTGTGTAAAACAGGCTATACTTTTATATTTTCAGTATAAGATTTATAATGGTATAAGAATCTTTTAGAGACTCAGGAGGAAGTTAACAAAGATGAAACTAACTTCGAAGATGGTGAATTATGTGACTGATATTATGACAAACAAACCTACTATTTTAATATGAAAGCTTGTTTTCATTTTATAATTTTTTTGCACTAATATAGGTATTTTTTAGTAGATTTGGTTTAATATTTTGAAAATTCCCACATTTTGGGGTTTTGAAGCAAACTGGATTATATCCAAACATTTTTTAAATATTTGAACCTTAATATGAAGTTTGGGACTGTGAAATTATATCAAGTACATGAAAGTCCACAGGACAACTCTACAGATGGATATAGCTGGTTTTGCACACAATTATACTTTAAAATCAACAATTTTTAAGATATTTTAAAGATTCTTTTTGATAGGAAATGAATAGGTAAGTAGAAGTACAATCATTTACAAAATTGTCATACCTATGAATTTTAAATTGAATAACTGATCGCAAGCTTCTTTAAAACTGCATCAACTTTATTAATGTTATCTAAGTATTAAACAAGTTTTTATATGAATTACAGACTACTTACCCGATATATTTTTAATAAAGAAAAATCCTTAAAATACCTTGAAAATTATGAGTTTTAAAATCAAACAAAAACCACACACAAATTGGCACTACCTAACCCTCTCATATCTGTTCTAATAAATATAATGAATTTAAAATATATTTAATAGTTTATATATCATGATGAGAGAAGTTTTTACACATACCATTAAAATTGTTTGGTCTCTTATGAAAAGTTCAAAACAATGTTAATGGTATGAGTTAACAACTTCAATGATATTATTTGCTGTATAAAATCCAATAAAGATGTAAATAATTTACAAAACTCGTTCTCTATAAACAATTCAAATAAAACTATTAAAACTAATCAAAATATTACTTTTTTACTTAGCATTTCAGCAGCAATACTTTTATTACTTCTGTAGCTAAAAGCATTACTGCATAAACGCATCTGTAACATACAAAATCAACAACTAGTTTTGTAAAATTTACATCTGAGTTATTTATAATTCATGTATGACTCGACTTGTTAAGCTTACAAATAATTAGGCAGTAATAGGTAACGATATTTTTACACACACGTACTTCACATAAACAGTCTTTTAAAACCGACACGATTAACAATAATTACCGAAAATAACTTCGAAAGCCCGTACCGCGTTGATAATGTTGATATGGCGTCGATGACTTGTTTTTATTTCTTTGCAAAGTCGGGTTATGTTATGTCATTTGTCAAAACTGACAATGTCAAAATCGAAAAGCCATTTTTTGGCGTTGCTATAACTAGATTTGTGAATGGACAAAGGAAACCAGATCCAAACATGTCATTTATTATTATTTATTCGTTTATTTCTACAGCAACTTCCATGAAGCATTTATGAGAAACAGGAGTATGAGGAATTGAATTTTCACAAGCATCTGCGGAAAAAATTGATTCAGATTTTTTATTTAAAACGAAAAATGAACAGAGTCGGCTCCAGGCCAAATTTTCGGAGGGAGCCATTTTAACTATACTCGGACAAAATATTGGAGAAGGTGAGTCATATGCATGATCAACACTCTTGTCTATGAATGAAAATTCCGACAGAGTCAGCATAGGCGGCGTATCAAATACCAAATAATTATTTATTGTTTATTAGGTATTTGTTAGTAAACTTTATTAAATTTGTTTGTCAACATCTTTATTTAAACAAAGATGATGCGTTAAATATACGTTTTTGATAGTTTTCAAGAAATTAATATATTTATTCCCTAATGACTTCGTTATCTGTGTTTTAAATGTGTTTCAAGTAAATAAACGACAGACGGATTATAGATTGAATATTGTCAGCACAGGCACAAAGACAGTTGAAAACTAACTTTCGACGAAGTTAGATTTGTATCGCTTTAACTATTTACGATAATTATTTTATATTTTATAAACACTTTTTTTGTATAAGTGCTCTTTTCTGATATACGAGTAGGTGTTCATGTTTGTGCCTTACAATTTGGTAGTGGTAGTGCATATTCGAGGAGTTATATTTATTGTGTAGTATATTAGGTAGGTACTTTAAAGGTTTATTAAATAGTAAAATATTGGTGTCTTTATAAATTTAATAAAAACAATTTAATAGTAGAATTATATTGTTACAATAGTAATGGATTCAGAGGCGGGTCCAAGTGAAACCCAATTACGTCGGCGAAACCCCTTATCAAAGGATGAAAAGAACATTATATGGAAAGTGTATGATGGGCTGAAACAGACACTTCCTACAAATGAAGCTGTAAACCGCAGTTCTTTTTTAACTGGAGTATATGTTTCAACAATTGAACGAAGGTACGCGAAAAGACAAAAAAAATGATCCTTAGAAGCCCCTAAAACGCATACCCGTGGTCGAAAATTGTTGAAATTGGACGATAACCAAAAACAAATCATTCGAAGAACTGTACATTCTTTTTTTTTTTAAACAAAGCCCCAACAAGTTGTTAAATTAAGAGAAAACGAAGAAATTCCATTAATGAGCCGTGAAACTTTACGAAAAATTTTATGGGGCCTAAAATTTCGTTTTGTCAAAAGGTGTAGGAAATCAATTTAAATTGAGAGCTCAGATATAGTGTCCCGGCGACGGCGTTATTTACGAAATATTAAAGAATTTAGAGCCGCTATAAAAAAGATATACTATCTCTGTAGAATTTAGTTATTGTACTAGATAACGCTTCTAATCACAGTCGACGAGTTGAACGCATTCCGATAATGTCCATTTTTTAACAAGTGGATATTGATAAATGAGAAAACTTAAATAGTAGCACTATATACACCATTATGATATCAGAACCTATAGGATATATAAAATTATTGAAATGGGAGCAAAACTGTATATTTTAGAGAATGATGCTATACTTATAGACAGGAAAATATTCGGGATATTTCTCAAGTCATCTAAAAAACAAATTAAGTATGCATTTTCAAACTAAACAAACATTATTTGAATAAGTGCATGAATACAGAAAGTACTCTCATTCTCATTATTTCTCAATATTTTTAAAAGTAATTAACAAAGCAAAATTCGGAATATCTTAGATTTTTTTTTATACAGTATTTTGTTAACTTTCTTTACATTTATACAATTTCATATATGCCTAAATTTAATTCTATTTTACCTTGATATAGGTTTGGCATCCTTCTTCAAATATCTCCTTCCACTTTGTTTATATTCAAAATCGTTGTCATTGAAATGACTTGAACAAATCTCAGCAAATTTACGGATGACCTTCCCTTCCTCAAATCCTAACGAAGAGCACCAAATCTTTCTCCTCGCAGAAACGACAGTAAACCTAAAATACATGTAACTATTTAATTGAAAAATTACCTAATAAGAAATACAAAATACCTAGGTACAGTCTGTTCGCTATACTTACGCGGGTTTCAGATTAACAAAATTATGCAAATTAGTCATTGACAACCAGTTCCAATAAGCCTCTTCCCAAGAAATTAGGTAAAATTGCCCTAATGGTCAGATTTAAATTAAAATAACATTAAGGTAGGTTCTAATTTTGTTACAAATATTGCAGTTGAATTGATTCTTTGCAAGTGTTGACATTGTATGTATATTGTAAATTTAGTGGAAATTTTAAAAATGCCTAGACGTGTGTTAGATATAGATAGTCTAATTTGTAGTGATGAAAAAGAAAATGACGGTCCTTTAAAATCGGTAATGTCTGTATGCGTATGCGATGATCTAGGAATTAGTGAAACCAAATTAAGAGGAGTATTACAAAATCACAATAGTGAACTGTCGAAAGAAGATCACCGCAAAACTCGCCCATCATTGAAAACGAAAGATATTCCAAATGGAAAGAAATTTGAAATTCGTGATACCATTTATCGAATGAGGACCAACAATAAACATGTGACCTTAAATACAATTCTCTCGGAATTAATAGATAAAAAATTTGACGACATTGGCAGAACAAGTCTATGGCAAGTGATACATAACTTGGGTTTCAAATTTCAAAAGGAGGAGAACAGAAAGGCCCTTTGTGAAAGAAGTTCTGTCGTGCACAAGAGAATTAACTTTCTAAGAAAATATTCTGAATTTAAAGAAGAAGGGGCAAATTTTATATATTTAGACGAAACATGCATATTTTCTAGGGGTGCAACCAAGAGAATATAGCAAGATGATAACGTAAAGTCCATCAAACATACCGATGAAGAAGGGAAGCGACACATAATTTTACATGCAGGAGTGAAATTGGGTTTTACAGAAGGTGCTGATTTAATATTTTCCTCTAAATCAAAATCCAGTGACTATCACGATAATATGAACACAGAAATGTTTGTAAAATGGTTGCATGAAAAACTTCTCCCAGGTTTAAGTGAGCCCAGCGTAATTATTTTAGACAATGCACCTTACCATTCTGAAGTATTAAACAAAAGTCCAACGAATTCTTGGACTGTTGATAAAATTAAAGAAAGGTTGACAAAGGAACATATACGAGGTCTGTAAATTAAGTAATGAGTCTGACAACGTTGCGTTTGATCTGGCAACACTGGAAGCGCGGGGCTTAGTGGGGCGGCAGAGGAACATGTGATCCACCTTCAGTACGAGTTTGACCTCGCTCGAGTCATGTGGTTGTGCGTAGCGATTGTTTTTGTGAAACAGTTTTTTCTATTGTGTTCTAAAAATGAATGACATCAATTTCGAGCAACGGTGTGCTATCAGGTTTTGCTTCAGACTTAGGCACAGTGCAACGGAAACTCTTCTGAAACTTCAGCAGGCCTATGGAGATAGTGTTTTGTCAATGGCCCAGGTTTTTCGGTGGTTTAAGGCATTTTCAGAAGGAAGAGAGTCGATTGAAGATGAACCACGAAGCGGAAGGCCTTCATCTTCAAGAACCGATGAAAATGTCGACAGAATCCGGGATCTTGTGCGTTCAGATAAATTTGACTCACACCACCGTTCATTAAATTTTGACCAATGAATTGGGGATGAGAAAAATCTGCGCAAAAATGGTTCCAAAAAACCTTTCGCAAGACCTGAAGAACATCAGGAAGGAAGGAGCCTTGACTTTTTGGATTCAATTGAAAATGACCCCCATTTTCTGGAACGTGTAATTACTGGTGACGAGACTTGGGTGTTTGAGTACGACCCAGAAACCAAGCGCCAGAGCATGGAGTGGCACACTTCAACATCTCTAAGGTCAAAAAAGGCAAGGATGGCGAAGTCAAAGATCAAATGCATGCTGATTTGTTTTTTCGATATCCACGGAATCATCAACAAAGAGTTTGTACCCCAAAGTCAATCAACACTTTTACCAAGAGGTACTTGAAAGACTTCGAAAAAGGGTCATTCGTGTGAGACCAAACATCAAGAACAAGTGGGTGTTGCATCACGATAATGCTCCTTGTCACACAGCAATTTCAATAAACGAGTTTTTGGCCAGTAAAAACATTCTTGTGGCTCCTCAGCCTCCTTATTCGCCTGACTTGAGTCCTTGTGACTTTTTTCTCTTACCAAAGTTGAAAAGTCACCTCAAAGGAAATCATTTTGGGACAGTCTAAAAAATTCAAACGGCTGTAACCGACCAGCTGAAGGTTATTTCAGTATCGGAGTTCCAGCACTGCTATGAGGAGTGGAAGAAACGTCTCCAGCGCTGTGTGGCCTCAGAAGGAAGTTATTTTGAAGGTGACAATATTGAATTGTAATTCTTTTTGTATAAAAAATTTAAAAAAAATCAGTCTCATTACTTAATTTACAGACCTCGTACCATTTCCTCAATATATATTAAAATCAGAATTATCACGCTTGGCAAATATACACGCAAAACCAAAAACCTTTGCTGTGGATCAGAATATTGAAAGTTACGATCATCAAGTTTTAGGTCTGCCACCGTATCATTGCCAGTTTAATCCCATCGAATATATACGGGGAGTAGCAAAACAATATTATGACAACCATATTGGGCCTAATGGTTATAGTGACGACGCGACGCAGTTCGAGAAACTTTTCGAAACGCACTTTCAATTGCAACTCCAGAAGTGTGGCGGAACTGTATATCCAAGTGCAAGAAACTAATAGAAGATTGGTGGACTCTTGAAAACAAAATAAACGAAATAAGTCCAATCATAATAACAATGAATGGTGATGACAGTGATGATGATGACGATT